ACCAGTTGCGCCGAGCCGAGCCCGCTCCTGAGTGTGCCGCGGGCAGCCGGCCGGGCCTCGAGCGGGCCCGGGGCCCCAGTGCAGCCCCTCCCGCCCCACAGCTTGCGGCTGCGGGTCCGCGGGCAGCCCCCGCCGTGCGGCCGCCTCGAAGCTCCAGCCTCTCCGCCCCGCAGCGGGCGGCTCTAGCCTCCAGGGACCCGCCGCAGGGATCCCCCCCTCCCCCGGCCGGCTCGCTCTGCGGGGCCGGGGAGCAGCGGGAGAAGGCAGCGACCCGGCGGCCAGGGACCAGCTCCAGGCTGCAGGCTCAGTACCGGCCCCAGCGGGAGGCTGCGGGGAACCCGCTCCGCTGAAAGCCTCCAGGTCCCTTCCCGGGCGCGGCTGCAGTGCAGTGTAGGGCAGGGCCGGTGCCGGGCGAGGAGGATGGAGACTGCCCTGGCACGAGCCGCCTCAGCAGGTAGCTCCCTCCACCGCGACCGCCGCTGTCGGAGACTGGGAGACGGGAAGAGTGGGGGCACCTTTAAGGGGGGGGGGGGAACCAACCCCTTCGCTCCGCGATTTGCATCTTCCCGGGAAGCGCCTCCCCTTCGCAGTGATGTCAGGCGCGGAGAGCACTTGCTGGCAGCGCCAGGCAGCCGAGTTCAGACAGCAGCGGCGGAGCCGAGCCAGGCGGTGCTGCTGCGCGTGGACCTCTCCTCTCCCCTGCGCCCCCAGCCCCGGCCGAGCACACCGCCGCCTTGTGCCGCTCGCTCCTCGGGGGCGCTCCAGCCGGCGGGGGACCGAGGAGTCTTGCAGCGGGGCCGAGCCGGCGGCTGCCTTCACGTGGGACCCGCTTTGCCTTGAGCTGCGGGAGCAACAAGAGCTCCCGGCCCCGCAGCCGCCACCGCGGACTTCGCCGAAACTTCGGCTCCTTCCTCCCGGCGCGGGAGCTGCCGCGGGACCAGGCGCGAGGATTTGGTGGCGCCCGCGGGTCCAGCGCCCATGCGGCGGGGCGGCCGGTGCCCGCGGAGCCAGAGCTGCGGCGGGGAAGGAGTTCAAGGTAAG